CCTGCGACTTGCTGCTGCTGCTGCTGCTGCTGCTGCTGTTCTTGCTGCTGCTGTTGCTGTTGTTGTTGCTGCTACTGTTGCTGTTGTTGCTGCTGTTGCAGTTGCTGTTGCTGCTACTGTTACTGCTATTGTTGCAGTTGCTGCTGCTGCTGCTGCTGCTGCTGCAGCAGCGGGCTCTTCCTTCCCTGCTGCTGCGGGGCAGCTGCCTTGCAGGCCTCAGTGGCTTAACTAAGGAGTTCTTCTTTGGGCGGCCAGCGCCGAAGTAATCAAGCAGGACGCAGCAGCTAGCTAGCTAGCTAGCTAGCTAGCTGAATAAATGGCTAGTTGGCTAGCTGGCTGGGTGGCTAGCTGGCTAGCTGACTAGTTTGCTAGCTGTTTAGTTGGCTAGCTGGACAGCTGACCAGTTGGCTAGTTGTTGAAGTGCTAGCTGACTAGATGGCAAGCTAGCTAGCTAGCTGGCTGGCTGGCGGCTAGCAGCTAGCTGGCGAGCTGGCAGCTAGCTGGCTAGCTGGTGGCTAGCTGCTAGCTAGCTGGCTAGATGGCTTTAAAAGCAGCTCAAAGAGGCGCTTAAAAAAAAAGATTTTAAATCATTTAAAAGTCAGCAGCATAAGTAGACACCTATAATACATATTGGTACAAACAGACATGTACATGAAACATATATATATATATATATTATATATATATCAAATATATCGAATAATATATATATATATATTTATATATATATATACATATTATATGTATGTATATACATATATAAATAGATGTATATACATATATATACATATATATATATATTATCGATATATATACATATATATATGTACATGCATAATATGAACAGATATAAATAGATCTACAAGTACAATATATATAAACAACATCTAAATTTTATATGTTACATATATACAATGTACATAAATGTACATCCATATATATATATATATGTATATATGTACAAGTATATACAAATAAAATATATGTAAATAAGAAATATATATAAAATATATATATATACATATATATATATATATATATATATATATATATATAACATGATTAGATACAAGTGGAAGAACAAAAAGTCACTCCTCTCTGAGCGCTTTCTTTAAGGAAGCTGCACAGAGCACTTTAAACGCTAAACCCTAAACCCTGAAACCTCAACCCTAGACCCTAAACCCTGTATCTGCATTCAAACCCTTAACGCTAGACCCCACCTACAGCTGCAGAGAAACCCTAAAGAATAAACCGGAAAAAATTCCTAAACCCTAAACCCTGAACCCCGAACATTAAACCCTAAACTCTAAACCCTAAACCTTACGCAAAAGAGCCTTCAACAAAACTCCAAACCCTGAAAATTAAATCTCCACAGGAACCCCAAACCCTCAACGCTAGCTAGGTCAGCAGATGAACCCCCGAAATCTTAAACCCTAAGCTCTAAACCCTAATCCATAAACCCTAAATCTTAAGCCCTAAACCCTAAACCCTAACATGCAAACTCTCCACCTTCGGAAAAGAGCGCAAGGGGCCCCAAATCTGCGCACGCGGTGCGCGTGGGGAAACGGGGAGTTTGTGTCTGCTCGGGAAAAGGAAAATAATGCATTTACTTGCTTTTTTTGCTGCTGCTGCTGCTGCTGCTGCTGCTGCTGCTGCTGCTGCTGCTTCTTTCTTCACAGGGCTCAGGGCAAAGTGCCTGCGGCCCAGGCGTGCAAGCAACGCCCTTGGGTAAGCAGCAGCTCTTTTGCAGGTGCTGCTGCTTCGTGGTTGTCCCAGAGGCAGAAGCAGCAGCAGCCGCAGCAGGAACAGCAGCAACAGCAGCAGCAGCTAGACGGCTGCTGTGCGCAGCCCCTAAAGGGTGAAAGGGCAGATCCGCTGCACTTGCTGCTGCTGCAGCTGCTTCCATTCTGGATGGAGGTCAGCTTGCTGCTGCTGCAGCAGCACTGTGTGCTGCTTCTGCAGCACCAGTCGAGCAGCAGCAGCAGGTATTGCTGCTGGGGGCCACGGGGGCCCAAAGTCAAGCAGGAAAGAGCATTATCTCTGCAGCAGCAGCCCTCGCAGCAGCAGAAACTGCAGCAGCAGCAGCAGCTGCTGCTGCTGCTTGGCGTCGGGAAGGCCTCCTGCTTCTGCGGGCTCTTTGGCGCGGCGCAGCAGTAGGTATACTTCCTTCGGACTCAGAGGAGCTGCTGCTGCTGCTGCTATTGCTGCTGCTTCTGCTGCTACTGCTGCTGCTGCTAAAGCTTTCGTCCCTTCCGTGCAGAAGCCAGTGAGGCGCGAGCAAAGAAGCATCTGCTGCTTCAGTTGCTGCTGCTGCTGCTGCTGCTGCTGCTGCTGTGCTGCGTGCAGCACATGTGTCACTGCGAAGGAAGCCCACTAGGCGCCGCCACACAGATTGTCTCCTGCTGCTTGCTGCTGCTGCTGTTGCCGCAGCTGCTGCTGGCGGATAGGAGGCTACTGCGTTTTTGTGCGGGAGAACTACAGATTCCGCTGCTGCTGCAGCTGCTGCAGCTGCTGCAGCTGTTGCTGGGATGTTCTCTTGCTGCAGCAGATACAGCTGGTTGGCTCTTTCCCCGTTTGCAGCTAAAAGCGGTTGGAGGAAGGGCGCCACATTTGCACGGGCTGGCTCTTTGCTGCTGCTGCTGCTGCTGCTGCTGCTGCTGTTGCTGCTGCTGCTGCTTGCTTGACTCTTACCTGTTGCGGGCCTGCTGGCGCTCGGGGCTTCGTCAT